GTTGGGTGATGTGGGGGAGGGGAGAGGAGAAAAGGGTTTATAACGGAAGAGGGAAGGTTCTACGCTGGCGGAATTGAGGAGGTAGAGGGCCCGGACAGAAGCAGCTAGAGAAAGGGGGGGGGGGTGTGTGTGTCTCGAATTGGGGAGCCTCTCCAGAGGATGAAAAAGAAGGGCTCTTATGTTGTACCCAGGAAAATATACGTGAGGGACCCTGCACCGCGGTCCCGTGAGAGAGAGAGGTCTGGGTGTGGCACCCTCAGGCCACATGGGCCCCCAGCCCACGAACTGCTCTCTAAGCGCAGGCCGAACCATGGGTACCCAAAAGCCGCGGATCCTGCCCTGGCTGAAGTTGCAGCTGGACTTGGGGCGGCTGGAGGGGGTGGCCTGGCTGGACGAGAGTCGCACGCGCTTCCGCATCCCGTGGAAGCACGGCTTGCGCCAGGATGCCCAGCAGGAGGACTTCGGCATCTTCCAGGTGAGTGAGCTTCCCGGACGCCCGAAACCCTGAGCTGCCAGCCAGGCGGGATGGACTCCCAGGGGGTGGAGCCGGGAAAGCGGGGTTAGCACGCCTGTGATCGGCCCGAGCTGACGCTGGCAGTTGGAGGTGGGTGGAGTTAGGACAGGACCCGGCCGGGTTATCGGTGCCGTGCCGGGGTTATCGGTGTCGACCGCAGGCAATGTTGGAGCGGCCAGTTTCCGGGAAAAGAACCGGAAAAGCGGGGTAATTTCTCGAAGGAAATGCATCCTGGGGGATTCAGAGCTCGCAGAGGGCGGGGGGCTTGGTCATAGAATTCTGGGGGCGGCGCTTGGAACCTTAGAGGCGAGACTTGGCCCCCAAGCTGAGGTGATGCCCCACCAAGTTAGAATATACCAGTGGTGCGGTACCCCGGGTTAGAGTGTGAGGGGGCGGGGTTATTACAGGGTATCCTGGGGCAGGTTGGTGGCAGAGTTAGACACCCAGTAGGACCTGGAAGTTTGGCTTAGAAAGCAAAGGTTTTCAAAAAGTGAAGATAGGGGACCTTGGGGTGCAGAGAATCCAAGGGTTTAGGGATGGAACCTTGCCAGGTTAGAACGTGCCAGGTTAGAACGTTGGGGCAGGGGGTCTTAGTCACCCTCACTATCCTCGTCAACTGGATCCCCAGGCCTGGGCCGAGGCCAGCGGCGCCTACACTCCTGGAAAGGATAAACCTGATTTGCCCACCTGGAAGAGGAATTTCCGATCGGCCCTGAACCGGAAGGAGGTGTTGCGTTTAGCCGAGGACCGGAGCAAGGACCCCCACGACCCCCACAAGGTCTATGAGTTTGTGAACTCAGGTGTGCCAGAAGTGGGGCTTCACGTGGAGGGGTGGGATTTTGAGTGTCCCCGACACCCTTCTCCACTTACCACCTTCCTTGACAGGAGCTGGGGACTTTCCTGAGTTGGACACCTCTCCAGATACCAATAGCAGATGCAGTCCCTCTGACACCCAGGTCAGAACGCATCCCAACCCTCCTGCCCTCCTGTCTCGGGCCCGTCTTTCTGTCCCCATGGCCTTGTTCAGGCTTCCTTTTCTCCCCCTGGACCTTCGCCTCCGTCTTCCTCCTGAGCCTCCCTTCTCTCCCCTGCGGTCCATCCCCAAACTGAGCTAAAGCTGACCCTGTCCCTCCCCTGCTCATAGCCCTGCCATGGTTTCCTGGCATCCTCAGGAGAAAATTCCGTTTTCACCAGGCATTTAAGGCCCTAATATACCTTCCCAGAGTTTCATAGCTTCCCTTGCTATTTAGGGCACCCTCAGCCTCCCGGGAACCCAGAACCACCCTCCCCTTGGTCTTGCTGATGTCTGCGTTGGGGCAGGTCCCCCTCTGAAGTCGTGTCCAGCCTTCTCTGCCCAGGTCTGGCTTGCACAGGGCCAGATCCTGGGGCCAGATTTAGCCACTCCCCTTGGGCCGGCAGTAGGCCCAGCATATAGCAGAGCATATATTTTGCCATTCTGTGCCCACGGTGGTCTCCCACCCCCACCCCCAACTGGAAGCCCCTTGAAGGCAAAGCTCAGCTGTGACTCCTCTCTGGGTCCCTACATTGCTGGGCACAAAGGCCTGGTCTATATGGCGTCTCCAGAAAAGGCTGTGGAAATGCCTGGGTCCTTTTCTTTTTTTCCTTCTCTCCAGGAAGACATACTGGAGGAGTTGCTGAGTGACATGGCTTTGGCCCCATTCCCAGATGGGGGGCCCTCGAGCCTGCCTATGGTCCCTGAGGAGACCCCTCCATTCTTGCTGAGCCCCAGCGTAGACATCCCTGCCCCCTGCCCAAACCTGCAGCCCCCGGAAAACCCACTGAGGCGGCTGTTGGTGCCTGAGGAAGGTGAGCGCCGACT